CCCCCCCTAGGCAGAAGTAACTGACCAATCCCTTAGAGCCAAGCTGAAATGGCACCCTTGACTGGGGAAGGGAGGTTCTTGTTTAGACAGTCTGGGCCATTTTGAGGCTCAGTCCTATAGGACAACTCCAAGGGTTTATTAGGATCAAACAGTAATTTATGCTGGCTCAAGCTGGTGGAAAGAATTCATTAAGGCCCACCTCTAACCTTAACACTACAGTCCTCAATGCAATGTAAATGCCCCTTCAAATAACTATACTTGTCCAGAGGAAGGGCATATACCATTAAAACTAGGGGATGGGCAGGGTTACAGGACACCAAGAAACTCTTACCGAGCTGGCTTGAGCTGCTGGGCAGCCATGTCAACGATAATATGATAGAAATAACCCAGTCATGACAGCAAGACAAGCTTTTACTATACAATGTATTTTCGTAGGTACATGGATGTGCACTAGCTGCGCAAATGTTTTATTTTGCAGCATTATTTGTTGTTATTCACAAATTAACTCTACATTGCATTCAGACTGGTATATTGTGTATAACCTTTTTATGTCTTTTGTGGGCTAAAGCAATAAAAATCAAAGAAAGCTTAGAAAGAACTCTCCGTGTGCTGAGAGTATTGAAGACACATTAAAAATTAATTCAAAATTACTTGTACATGAGATATTGATGGAAAAACTGAAACTAATTATGTAAATCAGGTAACTAATATGAACAGAACAGAACAAAAAACTTATTATTATGCTAATTAGAGAATTAATATGAACAAATTTTAACCCAAAATTAATCAGGCCTGTCTATTGTTCTAGAGCATTTATGTACCAAATTTTATTCAAATGTGATGATCAGTAATTGAGATATCGGTGTTAATTAGGAGATGAATAAGCATAAATATTTACCAAAAACAAATTGGGTTTCTGCATAGTTCTCTTTAAAAGTTTCATTATAATCCAATTTGTGGTTCTTTATATATTAGTGGAAAATTATGCAAATTAGGTAATTAATATCCAATTAAAACTAATCAGGTCTCTGCATAATCCTAGAAGATCTATGTAGCAAGTCTCATTGAAATATGATGATTACTACTTGATATATCAAAAGCTGAAAATTAATTAATTATGCAAATTAGGTAATTAATATGTACTCGTATTACCCTAAAAACTATCAGGTCTGTGCAGTGTCCTATGACATCTATGTACCAAGTGTCATTGAAATGTGATGATTACTACTTGAAATATCAAAAGCTGAAAATTAATTATGCTCATTAGGTAATTAATATGTACTCATATTACCCTAAAAACTATCGGGTCTTCGCAGTGTCCTATGACATCTATGTATCAAGTTTCACTGAAATGTGACAATTACATGTACTACTTGAAATATCAAAAGCTGAAAATTAATTAATTATGCTAATTAGGTAATTAATATCTACTGACATTACCCTAAAAACTATCATGTTTGTGCAGTGTCCTATGACATCTATGTACCAAGTTTTATTGAAATGTGATGATTAGTACTTGAGATATCAGTGGAAAAGCCGAAAATTGATTAATCATTATGCAAATTAGGTAATTAATATTGCACAGATTTTTACCCAAAACTAATCAAATCTGCGCATGAGTTTGGAGCATCTGTGTGCCAAGTTTCATCAAAATCCAATGAGTGGTTCTTTAGATATCAGTGGAACAGTCATGGAACAGCTAAAAATCAGCTGATTATCATGCAAATTAGGTAATTAATATGCATGGATTTTTACCAAAACCTAATCAAATCTGCGCATTGGCCCAGAGCATCTATGCACCAAGTTTCATCAAAAACTGATGTATGGTTCTTGAGATATCAGTGGAACAGACGGACACACATACACACACACACACACACACACACACACACACACATACATGTACAGACACACTAACTGCAAAGACTCCCTTTTTGTGCTTCGCACACGGGAGTCAAAAAAACTAATTATCATTAAAGCAATACATGACAAAGTACAGAGCCGGTACAATATTGTAAACAAATTTGCGTAATTAGAAAAGCAGTGCACTAAGTAAACAATGTTAAAGTTGATATATTCAAGCCAGTACAGAGTTGCATACAAGTTGCGTAATTACAGTACCTTCGGATATAATAACAATTTTACTAGTTTGACGTGCGAGGCACGAAAGAAAAAAAGGTTGCTAAGGTAACGCGTCAGTTCAGTGCATGACTTGGGGTCAAACTTCGGTCAACACACACTTGATGTCAGCATCGCCGCGCAACAAGTTTCACAAAAAAGTACTTGAAGCTCAATTGTGTCCCAAAATGATGTTGCTGATCACTCAGTTGTCACAGCGTGTGTTGTGTCATGTCCATGATGCACCCTGTTTCGACTTTGGCTTGCTTTTCCTTCTTAGTGATGCGACCTCTCACCAATGTATTAAAACACTTTGAATTTATACTTTGCATGATTATATTTGGTCAACGCAAAACATTATTTTTTCTAAACATTTTCTGAGACCATTTTTATCAACGCAGGGTTATTTTTCCCCGACAAGATGGGCTTCGTAATATCTGCCATAACATCGCCCGGGCGATGCCTAGAAAAATAAAAAAAGCCAGTGCAGCCAGACGGCTACTTTGTGGTCCTTAACGCAGTGCGTGTTCTTTGCCCGACTATACGCCATGAATGTCGCTAGCCACGAGTCTCAGAGGCACTAAAAAAACGTCCTGTAATCGTGTTCATTGGAAAACAAAACAAATCACTAATAAATTTATGAAAACAGCTCCTTTTTGAATCGATCAAAAAGTACTCTTAATTCGCGCACCAAAAACCAATAATTTCCCTTTTTACGCTATTAATTCGTGCACTTATAAATTAATTATTTTTACTACCGCAAATTAATCGAGTTTTTACAGTACTCAACTAATAGTAGTCTGATATATGTATCAATTATTGGCCTAAATGCTCAAAAAATACCCATGTCACATTTGAATTTTGTGAAAACTATGTATTTGAAACAAATACATATTTAGCATATTTAACATGATGCTGTAAGTAAAATCATTGCAAAGTTTGTTTACCTTCTGGTGCAATCTGTTCATTCTCATCTGGATCCCACTTTTCATTCTTTCGCCTGGCACCACTGACAATCACATACTCCATGTTTTTAGGATCAGTCTCAATCTCAAAGTGACTATCACACAAATGGCACTTCATTCGGAATCTATAAATAGGCGTTGTGTAATAGTTTCCCACTTTCTTCTTTTCAGCATTATACCGTACACCTGTATTGAACAAAAATATAACTAATATTTGTGTAATAGTATGCTATGTGTCAACAAACAGCCCTAAGCAAAATGAATCATAATCTAAATTGTCCAAGTGTTTGTATGTTTCTTGCATTATCTAAAAAGTTTAATGTACTACACTGTAGCAAAAAAAACTCATTTGAGGTTTCCACTTTGTGACAAGCAATATGTATACATATTGATTTAAGGTAGTGACAAGGAAGAAAAATGATTGAGACATTCTCTCTCCACCATGTACATTATGTAACTGTATGTCAATATACATGTATATGTTTTTGAGATACAATGTAGAAGAATATGATTGTATAGTTAAAAATAGCATTTTTTACCAAAAATATTCATTAAAATTAGAAAATGAAACTTATTGTCACAAAATAAACAAATCCGTCAGTGGTTCACCTAAAGTGTCTACATATAAAATATCAAACAATTGTGCTAGGAATTTTAAAGAACAAGTCAAAAATTTAATTTTTTACAAAAATGATAAAAATATCCACTAAAATTAAGGAATTGAAGGTATTGTCACAAAGGGAACAAATCTGACTAAGGTTGACTGCAGGTGTCATAAAATATCAAAGCAATAGGGCTGGTCAGGATACATATCCACAGATATTCAAGCATTTTCACTGCCTGGTAACCATCACAGTGAAAACAATGGCGAAAACTCTCAGAAAACTGTACTTTGGATGGTTGTTGAGACTCTGAACTGTACAACCTACATGTATATGTGCAACATATATAAATTTGGTATACTAATTTGAGTGGAGTTTGTGCTGTTTTAGAAATACATGATATAGTGGTGAGAACACCAAGTATCAAAGCAGGCATATTTGCCATTATCAAGAAAAAGTCAAAGATGTGAAGTTGACAGACGACATGTAATCAATAATATGGACAGCCCACTCTGTCGCTAAGTTGACAGTGGAGCTAAAAAGGTGGAGACTATCCCCCAGAAACAGACAAAACTGAGCAATTTTCACTAACTATAATTAATTTATCCAAGAAACTTTGTTGTGTAAAACCATAGACTCTCTAACAGTTAGAGGGTCTATGGTAAAACAGTTTCAATTAGATGCAAATTAAATCCATTGTATTCATAAGATCATCACTCAGTCTGGAACAGTTAATTTGGACCAACGATAAATAAAGAGTATAGTGAATATAGTGATTACATAATCAAATGTGTTTTGAAAAATGTATTTTTTTCTTGTTTTTTCCTGTTGAACTAAAATAAAAAGAAATCCAATAAACCAAATGATTTGGAGTAGAAAGTTTTACTAGTTAAATGTTACACAAATTTTTGAATAGCCTTGTTGACGGAAGACATTTATCAGTATTGCAGTATGATTTTTTGGGGAAAAAACAAACGAACAGAAAATTAGTAATTTTTTGAGGTTAAAGTACGGTAATACAAATGTAGGCATAGCAACCATTAAAAATTGTATTAAAATACACTTACCCATTCCAACATGTTTGTTACATCCATCACACCATATATTATACGGCAATTCAAAGCGAATGATAGTTATTCCCATGTGCAATTTACGAGCTCTCTCTCGCAATGGATGACTACCATGGTATCGATCTAATGATTTATGTTTGGCTGGATCAAAATCAGGTGGGTAGTATTTGTTGGTGGCTTTTCTTTCTCCCTGGTAATCAGAAAAAGGTAATAAAGAAGATAATGTCAGCAACTATTTTAAAGTGCCTGTGCAATGCCCACCCTCACGTTTCCCATTTTAGATCTGTATCCCACTGAAATGGGCAGTTATTGATTTTTTTGCTGAAAATGATTACTCGTATCCAAGTAAATTTGGGATATTTCTCGTGTTGTAGCCATGCCCACCTATCCTGAAACGGTCGACTGTTTCCGGATTTCCGACTCTCGCCGAAAGTGTGCCACCAAATGCCAAAATGTGAGAGGAAGTCATACCCCTGAGCCGTAATAACACTGGTCATTCAGTATAATTTTAAACGATATACATTTTTCAGTCGGCGTTTTTTTTTTCTTTCTTTTTTTGTCTATTTTCTTTTTTTTGGGGAGAGAGAGTTTTTAGATGTTGTGTTGTGGGCAGTTGCAGTGAAACATATAGTCATAGTGTAAGTATTCACACGTTTCTAATCAATCCGAAGGTGCGACATCAGTGGACGAAAGCCACTTAACCTCAGATTCATTTTTTTGGAAAAACTGTCTTCGTCCATGAAAAAAACAACTAGGTTTAAAGAGAAACG